CTCCTCCTCCCTTCTCCCCCCTCTGCTCTCACCAGTGATCTCTCCTGCTGCCAATTCCAGTTAACACTCTGGGCCTTTCCTAGTTTGCCTCTCAGCTGCATGGTGCCTGGTGGACCCCTTTCTCTACCCCAAACAACCCTTTGCTTTGGCCTCAGAGGCAACACATTCTCCCAGCTCTTCTACTTCTCTTACTAATCTGTCTCTGCCTCCCTGTGCCCGTTTATTTCTTCTCTCTCCATCTCCCGCTCCTTCCTCTTTCCCCTCCCTCCTTCCCTCTCTCATCCCTACATCATGCTGCTTCTCAGACCCACTTTTCAGGCCTGTGTCATAAGCCACAGTACCCACCACCATCGCCAAGACCCAGATCTAAGTCTTACCATCCTACTCAGGGATCTCCTTGCTCAGGGTCAAGGAGTCACACTTGGTGTCTCCCAAAAAATCAAGGAGCTCCCTTGTGAGCCAGAGCATGACCCCCAAGTTCTGCTGGGCATTCACCCTCCTAGCTGTGGTCAGAAGGCCCCCAGGATGGGGTCAAGAGGGGGAGCAAGAGCTGAAAGTGTGTATGCACAGTGCTGAGGGGAGAGGCATCTCTCTGGCAGAGGGAAAATAATGGAAACCCTAAGGGGGAGGCCTGAGGCAAGAGGGTTGGACCCCTCCCTTAAAAGGCTGCTGAACCCTAGAGGCCCCCCCATTTCAGGGGAGACAGGTTCTTGCCTAGCCTCTGTTTTTAATTTCCCAGCTCTCAGGCCTACGTGTGCGCCATGCAAGCACAGAGTCCAAGCCCCTTTGTAAAACTTTTATTTTAGAAATCTTCCCAATATAGCCTTATATATATACATACATCACCACCACATGGGTTTGGTTGCTAGAGTCACACGCCCACAGTGTTGGCCTCTGGGCGGTACAAAGGTCCAGGTACCTGGAGCGATTACTCCTCTTCTGCAGAAAAATGCAGAGACCAACGCAGTTCATCACGTACAGTACAACATTGACGGAAAGTGCTGGGCCCGCCCACAGAAATACCGCGCTATGTACACCAGCAGGGGCAAGCCTCGGGTCGGGGCCACGTACCATTGAAATCACAAGTACGACTAGACCCACCCCCAAAAGCTGAAATAGTCACCCACTGACTATAGATGCTGTGCCCTTTGTCTTATTTGCGGAAAAGGATAAAGGTTGTACCATCTTGTCATTTGCCACTACAAACAGAAAGGGTAGGAATTGTTCTTAAAGGATGTGATTCCCTCCAGTCATTCCAAACATCCTCGCTCTCTCAGGGTTTTCACCCTTCCATATTTTCCCCTTGTACAGATCCTGCTCCCATTTCTTCATGGATGAGGAGGCAGAGGAAGGAAAAGGGTCTGGTGGGCTTAGGGGGTTGTTAGAAAATGAAATGAAAATGAAGCCTCTTCTCCAGTTCTTCCACGGAGGAAGCTTTACGTTCCCCTTCCCTGGCCCATCTGGGTATCTGTGATTCCTTTTCCAAGTTCTGCCCATATTCCCAGATCTTTTTTCCATTCTCATTCCTTGGATGAATGAGACAGCACTGACATCAATATGGAGAAATCAGGACAACCTAGATAATTCGGGCAAAAGTGGTCTCGATCCTGCATTACCCAAATGCTGTGCAGTTCCAGACTGGCGCACTGCCTACCTCCTGGGCTCGGGGTGGGAAACTGCACTGCAGCACTTGACACTGAGGGCACCCGAGTTCTTTACGGCCTCAAATGCATCTACTTTTCTCAGTCTCGTCCTGTCCACCTCGCCTATCCAGGAGACAGAGCAAGGCAAGGAATTTAAGAGCAAGGACATGCAGGACAGCCAGGTCACCCTGCGCGTCTGAGAAGGGGGACCCAGAAGCTTGCGTTCCCACTCCCACCCCCACTCCCAAGTACTGGGAAGGAATCAGCCCTAATGTTCATCAGAAGGTGATCTGGAGAGACTGAAGCAGGATAGAAAACCAGGATGCTGCAAGGGTTAGCCAGGTGGCACATCCCGCTAAGTGGCCCTCACACCTGGAAAGGAAGCAGAGGAGCGAGACTGCCTTTCTGCAAGTGGCTGCACTCAAGGTGCCATCACCGAAGGGTGAGACACTGAGCTGGAACCCCCAACACCGGAGGGCCTTTCCGGACAGCCGCAGTGAAGGTCCTTCCCTGTCACTATGGACAGGGAAGGCCACAGGATCACTGCCCCTCTGACAGCGAAGGCAGAGCCTGGTGGAAGACAGCTGGGTTGACTTGAGGGTACAACAGCCTCTATTCGGTTGTAGGAACTTGTAGTGACATGTCACAGGCAGGCCCAGCCGTAAGGACACCATGTCCCACCACCTGGTTTGAAGCAGGAGGTCAGCGGTTCACTCTACAAAAGGATTCTTCATTTTACAAAAGGACTTGTGGTAGCATTTCTCGAAAAGATGAAGGACAAGGACTTGATTTACAAAAATTTCATGTACAACTTCTGTGGGTTTTTGTTGGGGGGGCACTCCTGTTGCATTAAGCCAGCCTCCCATATGCACCCCTAATGACTGGAAGCTGCCCAGCAGAGGGGTGTCTGAGACACTGCTAAGTGAACGTGCCGAGGCTCAGTCTCAGCCAGGGCCGGGGCTCTGACTGGATCCCCCAGGTCCTAGGATGGTCATCCCACCAATAACTGAAGTTGAGCAAAGATTCTGAATGCTGGGAAATTCACAGGACAGAGCTGCACTCCAGTTCAGAATACAGACAGGACCGTCAGCAGACAGCCATTCTGCAGCAGGAAGGTGCCTCGGGGCACCTGGAGAGTGGATTCCCACCACATGCTCGGCACCCACATACACCCTCAGCACAGCGATGTCTACTCACCAGCCTGGACAGTGACGTGAGCTGGGAATACAGGCAGGTAGCTCTGACACACCCCTCACACACAGTGTGTAAAGCCCTCGCGCCCGAAACAGCTCCTGCTCAATTCCACTCCAATTGTTTTCCCTTTCTCTGCCTTCACACAGAGCCCAGCAGGGCACATTCTCAGCTGCAGACTTGGTGCCCACAGCCTCAAGGATCAGAAAGGCAAGTTTCAGTGGGCAGAAAACAGAGCTTTGAAGAAAGGGGTGTTGGGCTTTCTGACCCTCCAGTCCACCTAGTCAAGAGCAGGCTCTCCACTCGCCATCTTCAACCAGGCCCCGAAGAAGGCACCTCGAGGCTTACGGTTCTGCAGCAGCTGGCAAGCTGGATGGACCACCATGGGCCTGGGTGAAGAAGGGGCTCAAGAGATGGGCAGCTACTGGGTACCTATATATTTGCACAGAGTGGCCACAAAGCCAGCCCAGCCAGCTGGGGAGGGGCTAAAGGCAAGGCAGAGGCTACCGGGCACCTCAGGTGAGCGCTGACAACCCCAGGTCTCGGCAGAGACAGGACGCCCAAGCTCCAGGCCCCAAGAAGTGCCACTCCAGTCTCATGTGGGGAGTCTTAGGGTTTTGGGGGAGGGGGAAGACCGTGCCGTCTTCATAAAAAGTACCTACCACTTAGCTCCATTTTACTGTTCTCCTACTGAGGCAAGAAATGGTAAGCCAGCCTCGGGCAGTGTGGGCTTCCCAAAGTTCAGACATGGAGAAAGCTCAAGTCCATTGTCCTGCTCCAGAGCGGCCCAATCCTCACCCCCACCTGCCCTGAAGACCTGGGACACACCACCGGCTGGTCCTGGTGGCCTGAGACCCATCACCGAGGGCCAGCTGCATCCGAGGTGGGCAGCATGGCAGGATGGAGGCCTCGGGCAGTGTGCTTGGGTGCCGGCTCTTCTGTATAGCTGTCGGGGCTGGCTGCCCCATCCAGGGAGCTGCCACAGCTGGAGTTGGGGGACAGCACATCCTGCAGGAGGTCATCTGGAGGCGCGCCGCCCCCTCCCCCACCACCACCGGCGCCCACCACAGGGTCCTTGCCAGGCTTGACCCGCTGGGTGCCCTCCTCTTCCTGGTCATTGAGCAGCTTGGCCAGGAAGTTAATGTATTTCATGGCCAGGCGGAGGATCTCATTCTTGCTGAGCTTCTTGTCAGGGGGGTGTGTGGGGATCAGCTTGCGGAGCTCAGCAAAGGCCCCATTCACATTCTGCTGCCGCCATCGCTCCCGGCTGTTGGTGAAGATGCGCCTTACGACTTTGGTGTGGGGACCTAGAGCATGAAAAGGCAAAGGTGAGTTGGAATGGGCGGGGATAGGAGCCATCTGGAGATCCCCCACAGCATCTTCTCTGGTGGAAAAGGAGGAAAAGCCCTGGGAAAAATCCTTGGGGGAAAAACTCCTACTCTTCCTTCAAAACCCAGTGTGTTCCTTCTCTCTGAGGACTTCCCTTAACCCGCCCAAACCAATCTAAGAGCCGCCAGGGTGCTATCAATCCCTTGGGTATCAATCCCTTGATGGCCACTGTTCTTGTCGCCCTCTGGGTTATGACACACTTGAGGGCACACTCATTAATTTATTCACTTGTGCCAAAAGCCATATAGAGACGTTTGGAAGGCAAACCTAGAGACAGAACTTGCTTCAGTTCCTGACTATTACACACTTGATGGTGACTCTGGGCAAGATACGTACACTCCCTATGCCTGAGCTTCACCAGCTGTGAAAGGGCAGCAATACCAGTAACTCAGGTCATAAGGCTGTCGCCTGGATCTAATCACTCACAGGTACAGTACGTACTGACTGCCCTTGATGAAGCATTCCATGTCATCGGTTATCCGTACATCAGTTACTTACTAATAACAGGCACTGTTCTAAGCAGTAAGGAGTAGTGGGAACAAACAGAGCCCTGCCCCCAAGGAGTCTACATTTTAATCGGGGTAACATGATGAGCAAGCAGTAAACAAACAGGAGGCTGAATGTAAGCAAAAGGCAGACAGGAGCTGCTATATTTAGGTAAAGCAGTGGGGGACAGCCTTTAAGAGGAGATGACATCCATAGGCAAGAACTTAAGGCTGAAGAAGAGCCCGTGGGACACAGGAAGGGCAGAGGGAAAAGCGTTCCAGCAAAGGGAACAGCATGTGCAAAGACTGGCCTGGAAAAAGGGCTAAAGCCAGTGTGGCTAGAGGGGCATGGGTGAGATCAGAGTGGGTGTGTGCAGATCCCACGGCGGTGGGGAAAGCACAGAGTAGGGGATAGCAAAGGTCTGCGACTGCCATGCTTGGGGAGGGTGGCGCTGCAGGCCAGAACAAAGACCAGAGGTGGGGTACCCACCCTGTGAGCTCTCCCCCAAAGAGGAGGAGTGGCAAGACAGGCATGGCCAGAGGCGCTGGGCAGGTGTCTGAGGGCAGCTTCGCCTCTGCGGCCACATGCAAGCTTACAGGTCGGGTGCTAAGCGCTCAGGCACTGAGAGGCAGACACTGACTTGCAGGTTTCAAGCACCTCTGGTGTGCACAGCACCACACTAACTGCCCACACTTGATCTGGGACTCCCAGAGCCAGAGGAGGACAGGCCTGCCAGAGCTCCTGATCCTGGGCTAGGTGGCTGCTTCCTGCCCCAACAGAGATGCAGAGCTGGCGCTGGGCAGCCTCAGGAGCTTCTAAGGGAACTGCCAGTCCTGGACTATTTGGTTTGCCTTCTTCCAGTAACCTGAAACCAGTCCTCAGAATATGGAAATGGGCATAGAAGAGAGGGGGCCCAAAGCTTCTCCTCAGCCCCTTATTCACTCCAGAGCTGAGGAGACTGAGGCCAGACCCTGACCCAGCTCATCCCTGCCTGACCCTTCCTGCATGGTCATCTCTGTTTCTCCACACGCATGTGCACACCTTACAACTATGCCCCATGTTTTCCCAGGGAGGGTCCTAGGTGCCCACAGTGCCCCTGAGGCTTCCCAAGCCCCAACAGGCCCAGCTGATTCTCTGCCACAAGCCAGAATCAGTCCTAGCCTGGGCACCTCAGTCCTCGCCTAGATGCCTGCAGTTCTCGGGCATCCAGGCCAGGGAGGGGAGTACCTCAGCTGCAGCACTGGGAGGGTCAGTCCCTGCCACGGGGCTGGTGTTGGCTGCTCTAGGGAGAGCCCCGAGGTGGGTGGGGGTGAGGGATGTTATGACTGCTGTTGCAGCTCAGGAGAGACAGACTCCAGAAGGGGTCTTGGGTTATGAGGAGTATTCAGGACTCGGCTGTGAGACCTTGAACAGGTTGCTCAACCTCTCTGAGCCTCAGTTTCATCTGTAAAACAAAAATGCTAATATTGTCCTCAGAGGTTTGTGGTGAAGATTAAACAAAAATCAAAACCACAAAACACACAGTGCACAGCGGGGGTCCAAAAAATAGTAGCATTTTTGATATCCATGGGCTGCCTTTCCCACTCTGAAGAGTTGCCTGAGGACTGCTGTGATGAGCAGTGTGCTGGGCACTAGAAGGCCAGTCAGGAGCAAGGCAGACAAAAGCTCTTTGTTAAGTAGGGGTGGAGGGAATACTAGTCCCCAAAGCCTTCCACCACTGCCTGGCAGGCAAGGAAAGAGGGATGATCGTGCACACGTCCTCAGCGCCTACCCAGAGCCAGGCTCTAGACACACTTCACCTCACTGCGCACCTTCAAAAACCTATGGGAAAACTTTCATTCTCCCATTTCATGTGAGGAAACAGGCCCAGAAAAATTCAACAATAGGAATCCACATCAAATCCTGCTGTAAAAGACCTTGCATTAGTTCTACTTCTATGGACTCTTTTTGATGAAAGCTTGGAATTCTCAGTCCCACAGACCTATTCTGTACCCACAACACCCTTGCCTTCCCCTCCACTTCTGTTCTCCCTCAAGCCTCCTTCCCAGAGAACTTCCCACCTCTCTATACCTTCCTCTTTCCTGAGTCTGCCTATCCCTCCGTGTCCTCTGCCTCCCTCCAGCTGGGCCCTGAGTAGGTCCCAGCTGGTACCGGTAGCATTTATGGGTAATGGCTTCCCTGCACTCCTGCACTTCCCCCAAACCCTCACCCTCCTGCCCCTCTTCTCCTTCATCTCCCCAGCACCTGATTTCTGATGCCTCTGCCCTCTGCAGAAAATGCCTCTTTCCTGGGGCACTTCAGGACTGTTCCCACCTGCTAGCTGTTGGTACATCCCTCTCTAACCAAGGGGCACAGGCGCCTACCACCCTTCCTCTCTTCCCTCCACCCCTGTGGCCTGGCCAGTCAGGTCTTTTGAGATGTGTTCCTTGTCTAGACTCCAGCTCCCTCCTCTCCAGATGTCACTGAGAACGCCCCTTCAGAAACTGCCCGCTGTACAAATCCCTGCCACCCGCTCCCTGAACAAATCCCAGCCTGGCCCCTGGAACACAGGAGCCCAACCCTCCAGGCTGAACCGCTAGAAACCAAGGACTGGTTCCAAGTCCCTCAGCTCTGAAGAGCCTACTCTCCCGCCCCCTGGTGCCCAGCCCCACCTACTACATCAGGCCAAGCTGGGGCAAAGCAAGAGTCCTCCAAATTTCCCACTCACCCAACCTTCCCCCCCAGTTCAGAGCCAGCAATACCCAGAGAGATCACAGTAGCTGAAATGAGAGCCTCGTGGCGGGGGTGCAAAAAGACAGGGAAGAATGTATGTCAGCCCAGGGTGTGGAATGGAACAAGGGGTCCCGTGGTAAGGACTCTGGGGTAAGACCCTTGAAGGTGCAATTGTAAGCAAGGAATAGATCCAGAGTCCAAGGAGGACTTGGGAAGGGGTGCAAGGAATCCCAAGGTTCAGGCTTAGCACCAGGGGGGCACCACACTTTCTGCCAAGCGTCCTTGCCAAGCATAGGTATGGGGCCCTGAGTGGCAACTACCAACCCCAGAGGCCTGGGCTCAGTGCCACAGTGTGTCCTTACACTCATGTCCCCAGCACTGTGAATGTGCCTGCCCCCAGCCTCAGCCGCAGCTTCCAAGAGCCTGCCAGCCACAGGAAGGGAAGAGGGTGAAGAGGGTGGCAAGGTGAGGGCATTCTGGGGCACCAAGGCTGTCCACCCACTACGTGAGACAGAAATGTCTGCTGTTCCCTCCTCTGGGGGCCCAAACCAGTGCAGGTGTGAGTACAAAGGTGAGCTGGGGACTCACCGTCAGTGATCTCCATCTCGTAAGGGGAGGGTCTCCTCTTCACTCGGTTGTTGGTGGCAAACATAGGGAAGGCATCAGGCTCCCCAAAAAACCCACTGTGGGAGGGAACAGATCACGAGTTTACATGTAGGGTAGGGGAGAAAGAGGCTCCTTGGGATCTTCCCCTAAATGTTCTTGAATTCCCCCAACCCTGGAAAAACAAGGGCAACCCTGGTCCCTTCACTTGGGCATTGGGGGTAGGAGCATGAACCCTTCTTGCGGGGCGGGCAGAAGCCCCCCTTCTTGCGGGCCTGAAACAGCGAGGGGAGACACACACAGAATCAGAAGGGAACACATGCAGCAAACACAAAAATGCATTCACACACACACACACACACACACACCACCCAAGAAGCCCTCTGCCCTGGTACAAGCACAGCATCCACACACAGGACTCCCCTCCTAGACAGATCCTCACACAGCAGCTGTGACCTCCACACCCTGGGTGACGCCAGCACCACCGAAGAGGTCCCTGTCCCCTCCCCTCAGCCTCGCCCACCTTCACTCCTGTCCAAGGGAGGCCAGTGGACAGACAACAGACAGGAAACCCTGACTCACCAGAAGGCCATGCTCCCATCCCCCACCCTGGGCTAACACTTCTCTGCCCCCCTCCCCAGCACTTGTCATCCCTGTGTCATCTCTGCCCCCACTCCATCCCTCCTCTCCACCACCTCCAGACCCCACAAGGTTTGGGTCAGACACGGCTCTAGGGACAGAGGGGAGAGGAGTCGCGCCCTCCCCAGGAGGGCCCTAAGCCCAGAGGTAGGTAGAGGAGGGGCCCTTCCCGCCCGTTCTCGGATCCCTATCGCTTACCTGTCCTCAGAGGGCTGCAGCTTCCAGAGAATTCCACAGCGCAGTGCACTCTACGCACCCCTGCCTGGAACCCACACTCACGCCACTCGCCCCGGTCCCACCACCACCAGCTCCACTCGGCACTGGGTCCTCGGCCCCAGCCCACCCCTTGCCTACACTCTCCCTCCTTGGGTTACACACCCCCAACACGTCGGCCGTCACAAGTCACCCCTTCAGCCCCGCACACGCCCCAACACACTCTCAGAGGGCCCTTCTCTCACTCGCACGGGGGTTCCAGCCCCCAGGCTTTCGCTCCGGATGAAAGCACCCCTCTCCTCCCGAGCTCCGCCCCGCCGGAGGAGCGGAGCCCGC